TATGGTCAGGTTCTAATTCTTTTACAATTTCTGGTGCGTTGGAAACCCATTTTTCTTAAGGTGAAGTGCGCGTTTTTGTGTATGTCGCGTACTTCCTTCGATATTCGCATTGCCTCTTCCAGAGACTGGAAACTGTCGAGATAGTCATCCATATAGTGGTTTTGAATGATAGCTTCTACGGCTTCTGGATACTTGTCTTTGTGTTTTTTAGCGTTCCAGTTCTTTGCGAATATGGCTATGCAGGGTGAACTGGCTGCACCGAAAATGATCGACGTCATTCTATATTCCTGTGGAGCTTCATTACGTCGATCCCCTCTCCAGAGATATCTTAAGGCATCTCTGTCTTCAGGTCTGACTTTAACCTGCATGAACATTTCGGCTATGTCCGCGGAGACAGCGATTTTATGGCGGCGAAAACGCATCATAACCCCTGGTAGTGATTGCAGTAGGTCTGGACCCGTGAGCAGGAAGTCGTTTAATGACACCCCCTTTGTTTTGGCTGCAGCATCGTGTACTATTCGAAACTTCTCTGGCTTCATTGGGTTATGGACGTCGAAATGGGGTAGGTACCATGTTCTTCCCGGTGTGCTAGTTTTCGGTGCTATCTCGGCGTATCCTTTTTGTACTAAGGAATTCATTTGTTCATCATACTTTCTTTTTAGATCTTTGTCTCGATCTAATTTTCTTTCAATGGAAACGAGTCGTTTTATTGCTGTTTCATAATTACCAGGCATCTCGATATCCTTTTTTCTTCCAGAGAAGCGCTGTTTCTATGTGCCCGTCTTGTAACTGACGGGTGCTGGTATTTAGTATATCTTCAGCTTTCTTCTCCGGGTCGGAGTCTGGTCTTCTCGGATTGATAATGAGAGATTCCAGCGCGAAATATTCGCGGAGTTGGTCATCTATAGTCCCCTCGCTCTTGTGCAGCTCATTGGCCGCGTGGACGCGCTGATACGGGGCTTTAGTGTGTGCCCCGTGTAGCACCCATCCTAATTCTGTGAGCGAGGCAATTGGCTGGTGCGGCGGACCTCTTCGGATTTGAGTGGCTATCAGAAGTCTCCAATTGTCCTGTCCTATTAGGATCCTTGGGTTGCCGGAGTCATATGTTAGCTGTTCCTTTAGGTCTTTCAAGTGCTTACACTTGGCTATGTCTACTGCACGCACAGTCTGTGGCCCCAAGTTTAGGCTTTCAACCGTGCGTGCTCTGAATGGCACCCTTTTTCTGTGGAGACTCTTCAGCGATACTTTGATTCTTCGGGATTCCGGTGAATCGAGGGTAGTGTTCCCGATAGCGGTGATCTTAAACGGGTCCAACCGCCCTGTAGCTCCAATTTGTTTGGCGATCTCTTCATCCATTAGTGAAACTGTTGACCCATCATCCAGCAAGGCGTGTGTGTTTACAGCTCCCGCCGGTCCAATTACTCGCACTGGAATTATTTTTAAATAGGCTTGATGCTTTGACACACTGAATGAGTTAGCAACAGTTTCTTGAGGTTCTTTGTGTTTGACCTCAGTCTTCTCCTTTGTATTGTGATGGAGAAGTCGATTGTGTGTCGCGGTGCATCCTTTTATTCCACACTTATTGGTTTTGCATTTGTGTGTCTGATTTCTATAACGTAAACAGCGGAAACATAAATTATTTTGCTTTGCGAGTTCCCATCTTTTGTTGATATCTGCTTCTTTAAATTTTTTACATTCGGATCCGTAATGACCCTCCTTTTCGCACACTCTGCATTTCGGAGACGGCTTAGTAGTAGCCGCGTGTGCTCTATGTACTGAACGATTGCTTTGTGCTTCGTTTATAATTTCTGGAGGCGCAAATGCACTGCAGAAGCGAGCTTGCTCGGTAATAAATTCGCTGAAGCAGCCGAGGTCTGGTCTAGAGTCATATTTTTCGGTGTAAATTCTATACCACTGGGCACGTATAGAGTTTGGCAGTTTGTCGGTGAGGTGTCGTAGCAGCTCTGCGTTGACGAGGTAATGATCTCGCTTTAGGGCTCTAAGAGTGACGACGCTTCCCCTCACTTTGCTCGCGAATGTGCAGATGTCTCTGGGTGATTCTGTACAGCGTGCTAATCCTCGTAACTTCTCGGTTTCTGCTTGTGCGATTGAATCTGGACGCCCAAATTGTAGCTCCAGTTCTTGCATAATCTCATCTGGTTTAGCATGCCCGATGAGTTCTGAACTGACTGTTTCCAAGGCTCTTCCTTGTAGACTTCGTCTTAGTCTAGCAGTGTTTTCAATGTCATTGAAGTAGCCTCGGGTTGTTTCGTAAATGGCACGGAATGAAAGCCACTCGGTATGTGCTCCGCTAAAGCTTGGCAGTGTCATTATAGCTTTCGACGCTGCGAAAGTATGCGACGATAGTGGCGCACTCTCTAACTTTGGTTTGTCAGCGAGCGCGGCTATAGCGGATGTGAGCTCCGATATAAACGGACGGAGCCCCCCTGTCTTCACTTATGACGGGTTCCTGGCTTTGCTTCTTTGGAATGGGATCCTTTTGTACATCTTCTGGATAGGAATCCTGGTTTGTGAGCTCTGATACAATCGGTAGGAGCCCCCTGTCTTCATCAACGGTGGGTTCCTGGCTGAGCTTCTGTGGCATGGGATCCTTTTGTGCATCTTCTGGATAGGAATCCTGGTTCGTGAGCTCCTTTTGGGGCTCACTGAGATCGACAACGTCCGGGGTCGGCTTTGTGACGGTTTTATTAAATGGTGCCTTCCCTCCGGTGATTGCGCCTTGATTTGACTTTTGTTTGGCTACAGAGTTTTCGAGCCAAGATCGAACGTACTCACTTTTGGAGTGACCATCTTCATCATAGTCATCTGATTCGTCTTCTTCTTCAGCCATCTGTAAGGAGATCTGCGCAAGTTCTAGTTTGATCTTCAATACTTCTTCACGAGCCTTCAAAATTTTTCTATTGGGCCGAACAGTCTTCTTAGACTTCGTACTGCAAACGGTGTGGTCCCTCGGTGGCTCTTCGGAGTGGGTGTCTTCCCTGGCTGGTGGCGATGATGCACGGCTAAAGTCATCGTTGCCTTCTATATGTTCCCTCTGCTTCGTTGTGCGGGCCGTAGTGGACGGCGCGGGCAGGGGGTATTCCCCCCTCTGGGGGGCAGCATGGCGCCTCAGCGCCCTCTATTGTTGACGGTGAGCGTGGTGGCATCTGGTGGTGGACGGCGGCGTTACTGGCCGACGAACCTCCTTCCAGACCGACGGTCCACGCCTTGGCTGCTCTTCCTTGCGAACGGGTGATCGGCATCTTGAATCTGAAAATTCTGTGGTTTTAATACGGTGGTGACTATTTACCCGGTTCCGAAATACAAACGGATAGATCCGGCTCGAAGGACCAACGAATGTGCCGGACGGGCGAAACTCTCCGGAGTAAATGTTGTCGAAGATACTTCGCGAGTTGCTCACGTCCTACACCTATAGGTTCCGGTGGGTACTCTCACCGCCGTCTTTGTTGTTGCCGCTGAAATATTGTGGACTGTAGTTAAAATCAAAATGCACGATTAACAAATACAAATAGCAAGGTAGTGGCCAGCGGTTCGACTGATTGATTAGTCGCGAAATTTTATAACTATTTATCACGGTTGTTAAACTACGGTTGTTCACTGTATATTTCAAAAGATTTCTTTAAATTATACGGTGGTATCAAATATCTATTGGTAGTAGCTGGTTTTCTAACACTACTGACTAGCAGCTATTATCAACTAAAACTAGTTGATTTTATCACTTGTGTAACTGCGGATATCAGTTACCACTTTCACTATATGACCTTTTTCGGCTAGCTAACACTTTCACTATATGTAACTGCGAATATCAGTTACGACCTTTTTTAGGCTAGCTGACACTTTCACTATGTGTAACTGCGAATATCAGTTACGACCTTTTTAGGCTAGCTAACACTTTCACTATATGTAACTGCGAATGTCAGTTACGACCTTTTTCGGCTAGCTAACACTTTCACTATTCACTATATACTGCTACTAGTCACTTCAGCTACCACCGGATACCACTCACTTCACTTCACTTGTCACTGGTAGTTCTTCACACTACTACGGGTACTGGGTCCCGAGCCCCTAAGGTAGACTTTAGCAATACTTTGCAGTGAGCCGCTTGCCATTTTCCGTTTTGCCTCTTTATTGCATAAACTTATCACTGTACAGATGGCATAAATTGCAATATTTTCTATACAAAACTAATTGCTACACTAACATGCTATACATCATTAAATCGGTAGTCTGATACTTTATTAATATATCATAAAGGTTACTAAAAACATTAACATTGTAAAAAAGTTATTAAACGAAATGTCCCAAATTTTCATAATATTTGGGCATTTTAATTCTTTAATTTTTCTATAACTACGAAATGCGTTTAATTATAAAAAAATATTCCTATACTTCTTTAATCTATAAGCCATATGCTAATTAAATGTCATATTTATAACTCTTTTAGGACAAAATTATTTTCATTATTTTTAGTATGAACTATTACGCAGTTAATTAAAAAACTTCTAGAGAGTTCCACGATAAGACGCGCTGTGATTGGTCGATTTTTTGGTATATAATAAAAGTTGTTTATATTACTTGTTATCAAAACGACATTCTATACAAACATATTGAGAGTTATAAATATGCTAAATAACTATATTAATACACGTTTTCACTCAGTTTTCTTGGTAATTTCACTATTAATACATAAAACAATATTCTTTAACATTTTGTTTCTTAAGGTTGTTAGGCCGTCGCGAACAATATACTTCAAGGTGGTGGTCTCAAATAAATTTGTAAAAAAATTCCACACCTAAAAGCAACTAATAAAAAACTTTTTTTTAGCAACTTGAAGTCGGTTTTTACTTTTCGTTAAAAGTTATAATTATTAAGTTAACGTTTGATACATTGTAATTTGACTTCAGATCTATCGCTGTTGGATGTATAAATATATTTAGAGACATGGCGAAAAAGGCAACAAAATGAAATACGTGACTAAAATGTCTCGGTCCGATTTGAAACGCACACTTGCTCATCTTCTGTCACTGACCTTAATATACAGTTGTCGTGGAATTCAAACTGATGATTCGGAAACATATTTAAGCAGCTTTATTGCAGATTTATGGCTAGAAGGGGCTGATGTTTTGAAAATAGTTTGGCAGGATTGCTCTAAAAAGGTATGTATGATGATGCCTTCTGACAGATTTCGATGGCTACAACCTTTTAATATTTTAGATTTTTTATAGGATAGGGTGACAAACGAGCACACAGTCCACCTGATGGTAAGTGGTTGCTGCGGCCCATAGAAATCTACATCTATCCTCTATTACAAATCAAAATGCAGATGCGTTGTCACCCGTGAGGACTAAGATGGAATGCCTCGATTAAAGTAAAAATAGGCCTCCGGTTATCTACACTTACCATACGAAACACAGCAGCATTAAGCTACTATTTCACGCTGGTATTCTGTGAGCACGTGGTCCTTCCCCGGTCGAGCCGACCCATTCGTGCTACAACTATACTACTAATATAACCTCAGCATGGCCCTACCACGTATAAATATATTATCATCATCCACCAGAAGGTGAAGTTGAAGTTATCCGTGGTATAACTTCAACTTCACCTTCCGGTTAGGTATTATGTTGCAAATTCTCTATCCGTACCGGATGTAGATGTAGTGTCACAGACACCTTTTCTATCGTAACTATAGAGTTGTCTATTGAAATCAACTTAACCAAAACCTAAACTTAGCAATGTATTTTGCATTAAATTATGGCGCGTTGTAGCTCAGGGGCTAAGCGCTCGCCGTAAATCTAACAGTACGCGAGTAACCCCGGTTCGATTCCCGCCGGCATCAATAAAATTGTTAATTGCAATTTTAAGCGCTACTTTATCACATGAACTGAAGTCCACCAACACGCATTGGAACAGCGCGGTGGAGAGTTCTTTGTCCTAAAAACTCTCTCAGAAATGAGAGAAGGCCTGTGCCCAAGAAAGAGACGATGTGTGGTAAACAGAACTTTTAAGAACTCTTAAGCAATTAAAACTTTCTTAAGAATTTTATTTTAAAACCTTATGAAGTAACACACACTAGTGGTTTTACCACATATCTTTAACATATACTTACTTAGTAATGAAATTAATTTCTAATAATTTATTTGATTTCTTTCGGTATGTTTACTTTTGTCTACTATTATAGAGTAGAGTTCCGTTCCGCAGTACAATAGGCGAGAGCCATTTACAACGGTGCGGTAGTGATGAAAAAAAATATTAATTTTAAATTTATTCATGAACAGTAAATTATTATTAATATACTTAACTGTGGGAAACATTATTGCTTTATATATATATATATATATATATATATATATATATATATATATATATATATATATATATATATATATATATAGTTACAATAACATAGTATTGGATCATTTAAGAAGAATTTAAATTTGATTTTATAATATACTAATATGTAAAATAATAGAGTATATGTTATTTTTAAAATCACGTATTATTAAAATCAGGCTCTTGTATTTTCATAAACAACTCACATATTTGATCCTATATATATATATATAGGATCCTTAGCTTAGAAATAATATAAAAAGAGTATGACCAAGTAAAAAGTAAAGAATATGAAAACGTTGAAGAATTAAATTTATATCACTTCATTTCGTTTCCCTTCATATCATTTCATAGTGCAATATAGATACATTTTCTCAACCCAACTCAGCTATGTTTAATGTAAATGCTTATGATATAAGATTAGAGGTAGGGAGGGATTGAGTGTCAGTTATATGAGAACAATTGGAACTAGGTCCAACTAGTATTTTTAAACTAATACTGGTTTCTAAGCTCGTAAGTAGGTAGTACCCTGAACGTTAGATCACACAATAGTCTCCTTTGCTATAAATATATTTAATAGATTAGTTCCGTAATGATATTAATTCAGATACGAAACTGTTTAATTCCTCTTAAATATATACATATCTTGTCGGCGACCTCTAATCCTAGCTCAGTTCAGTGATAAGCTCTTTGTCCAACTCGAGCACCGTAACTAATACCTCATTGAATACAGTCCATACACGTAGGTGCATAGTTATATCCACTATTGTTATGTAAACAAGAGACATTTATAAAAGACCTATAATTTTGTTAATACTACAAAATGTAAAAATTCTAATTCAGTACAGTTTATCATATTAAATTCGATTATCATCGTCAAAACTACATAAAAGTTTATCTGTAAAGGATATATAAAATACCCTTTTCCTACTATTTTGCGAAAGAAATTTTACCGAAAATAACCGTTCCACATCACAAGCCCGGCTTATTACGTTCTATTATAATGATTTGAGTCGAAAAGATTCGAACAGTATATATTATACATGAGTAAAAAAGGTTTTGAACGCGTAGTTATTGGTTTTCTAAGTAATCTTACTAGAAAACTGAAAACGTCGAAAAACTTTTATTCAAAGCTTATTTTATTTCGTAAATTAAGCAAAAATTACGTTAAACTCAAAAGATTTTCTAAATAGAAGTAATACCATGATATTTTTTATTACTTTCTTCGTTTTGATTGGAGATCGTACTTCTAAACGCTTCGTGCTTTTGACACTGCTTTTCTTCGCCAGTCTAGGTATTTACATCTGACATTATTTTTCGTTATGTCCGAGCAGCTATGCAAATCTAGGGAAGGAGACCAGTATCACTGCGACCTAAATGATCAATCGAGATCATTGTCATGGCTATAGTTCACAGCTAAGACCTATCTCTTCAATAAATAGAAGGAGTTGCTTACCCGTGAGCAATTTCACTTCTTCTGGGCGGAGTATAACTTAACCTGGATCAATGTTTTAGAATGTTTTAAACTTGATGTGTCGGACCCGATCTTAAGTGATTTATTGTGTTTAATAATTTCAAGGGTCAATCGGGTTAGGCTTCTTGAGATTCCACAAAATGGCTCAGGTCCAAATTTTGTACTTTTGAGCCTACCCGTGCAAGTTTGTCGGCAAATTCATTGCCTACAACACCCGCGTGAGCCGGAACCCATCGTAAGACGACTCTGTTGTTACATCCTGGGGCGTTTAAATGGTTCACGAAGTCTCTAACTAGCTTCGAGTTCACTAAGTTTGACCTCAGTACTAGCAATGCTGTTTGACTGTCAGAGTTTATATAAGTTATACGGTTGACGTAGTGTTTTTGCAGATTAATTTCCGCAGACTGAAGTATGGCGAAAATTTCTGCCTTAAAGATAGAGGTGAGTCTACCCAAATTAATACTAAGTTCGAATTTGGGGTGTTCCCCCTGAAATTCCAAAGCCTACGTTGAGGCCCATTTTAGACCCATCGGTATACCATATGAGGCTATCGACCTCACAGATAACCTGGCCATCCAGCCAGTCTTCTCTGGAAGGTAGTCCTACTATATACTTTTTATCAAAAGTGTATAGTGGACGCATGATATCTGAGATCATGCAAAAGACCGATCTTTCCTTAATTGAGTCGAGCATGGATCTCAATCTGTAGGAGAGCAAGCTCAGACCGCCCTGGGCGTTAATCTTATATAAACTAGCCTCCTTGTCTAGATTAAGATCGAGGGCGTTAGGCATAGAAGTGCATTAAGAGCCGCTCCAGGCGATGATCGCATAGCTCCAGTTGCCATTAAGCAGGCGGTCCTTTGTCGACTATTTTGTCTGTCCGCAGTCGTCTTTTGGTTGGCCTTATGGTTATACCATACTCATTTCTACGTATACTTTCAGTGTTTTTTTTTTTTAGAAATGTATTCACTTGTTCTTAAAATTCGTTACGTATTATAAAATCGATAGTGCATTATCCTTCATTCATGTATTTAGAACACTTCATAATTTTATTTGTAGTTATACTTTCGAATTTAATATAAGTTGGTCACCAGAGGAAATCACAACGTAATTATTAATATAAAAACACTTTGATGTAACTTTAGGCTGTCTGTTTATATTATACTAACAAAATTAATATAACACGTTTTTTAACCATAAGCAAATACATTGAATAAAACAATATTCATGAATGTCATATGCTCTGAAGATGTTTGAATTTCTATTCTACGGCTTTCCTTAATTCGGAAATGAGCTCAATAAATTGAATTGTTTGAATAGTTAAATAAAACCATTTGTAAACCACTGTATTAATGGCTTTAAGCAATGTGTAGTATTCGAGTAATTAAACGAAATCGTTGTTTGAACACTTTTCTTATCGTTTTGTTATTAAATTTCAGTTAGTGGACGTAAAAGGTGTTATAAGCCCTAAGGAGCACTTTCCTAAGTTCATTGGATGCATGAAAAAAATGACTTTACAAGCTCTCGATCGATCCCTTAGTTCAGATATTGTGCCAATATCGGATGGAATCAATTTGGTGCGATTTGAGCTGGTCGATGGCTCTAGCAATACATTGCCTATTTATAGTTCCAGGTAAGGCTTATTTTTATAAATTTAATAATGAGGATATCTGCCATAGAACTAAAAGCGATACAGCCCAACTGAAGTGGCAAAGGGCCGACGATATAGCTTGAAGTGAGGAAGATAGTTTCTCACGATGCAGCCACGTAACCTGGTCATGTACGATGTCGATGTATGCAGGTGGCTCAGGGCCGTGCTTTGTGGTGCTAAAGTCTATTAGTTGACAACTCAAGTTGCAACGTTTTGGTCGAAAGTATATATTTTCAATAGTTTAATATAGTAATATTTTCGAGGCCCGATGTATAAATTTTTATACGTAAACTTTCAAAGTTGTTGAAAAAAACTTTTAAAAATGTTATTATTAATATGACACTCAAGAACAGTGATATTTTAATACTACATTATACTGCAAACACGGTAAAACCACGCTTCAGCCGTTTTATAGCTGCAGCACAAGTGAGTTGGTTCAACTAGGGGAGAAGAACGCTCGTACAGAATGCCAGCAAAAACTAGGATAATGCTGCTATATTTTATGCATATGACGAGAAACGTATACCCCCTACACTTAAAACGAGGCACTCGATCTCAGACCACAATAGTGACACGCCATCAAATGGAGCGCGTTCTCATTTGTAACACTGTCTTGTATAAAATATATATTATACACGCCATCTATACGTACAAGTAAATAAAAATGAAGTGTCTGTTTGCAATGTCAAAATAACAACTTTTTACTTAATGCATCTGAAAGTATTCACGGTACTTATAACAAAAACACAATTTAAAAAATCTGTCTGTTATTAATCTTGACGACTCTATGGCGCAGTGGCTTAGCAATGAGTGGCTGCGCTGGGGGTCGCGGGTTAGAATCCCGCACGGAACAAGTATTTGTATGGCCTACAAATAATTGTTCCGGGTCTGGATTTAACCCGCGACTCGCGTAACCCGGGTTACTCGCGTAACCCGGGTTACGCGAGTAACCCGGGTTCGATCCCCGCCGGCACCAATGAAATTGTTAATTGCAATTTTAACTGCTGATTTACCACGTACTCGGCGGTGAAGGAAAACATCGTGAGGAAACCTGCATGTCTGAGGAATAAGAAAAAAAAATATTTCGAAGACATGTGAAGTTCGTCAACACGCATTTGAGCAGCGCGGCGGACACTTCCTTGCCCTAAACCCTCTCAGAAATGAGGGGAGGCCTGAGCCCAGCAGTGGGACGTATATAGGTTGTAACTTTACTTTACTTTACTGGATGTTTGTCCTTGTGAAATTTATGTTTGTAAACTGCCCCCACGATACAGGAGAAAATCCTAGTGTAGGGTTTTTATATAGGATAGGATGACGAACGAGCACAGAGTCCACCTGATTGTATGTGGTTGCAGTGGCCCATAGACATCTACATCTATTCTCGATTACGAATTAAAATGCAGATGCTACTATTTGACGCTGGTATTCTGTGAGAGCGTGATCCTTCCTCGGTCGAGCCGACCCATTCGTGCTACAACTGTACTACTAATATAACTGCAACATGGCTCTACCACGTAAACGTAGGGGCAAGGGGTAACGTTGTTTGTTTAAAAAAGATTAATAATCTCCGAAACGGCTGGACCGATTTTGACAGGACTTTGACTGACCGATTTCTGATGTTATAAGGAGTAACTTAGGATACTTTCTTTTTATTTAAGAAAAAGCATTAGGGTACCGCGCAAAAGAAAAAAATCAAAATCCTAACATACACGCTGGCGAACTTGCCGGGAACAGCTAGTATCAAATAAATAATGTTCAGCTTGCTCCACATGTTCATTGCAATTTAGTAGGCAGATGAATATTGATAGGTGACAAAACAGTTTCATTGCGTTTGCATATATTTTTAAGAAAAATATAACTTAACTATGTTATTAAAATTCTTAAACGCTCACCGACACGATGTCAGCTTTTAAAACCAGTTGATAAGGTTATCATATATATTAATAATTTCATTTTTCTAAGCGAAGTTCTATCTTTCGTCGATTGAACTATTTTTATAAAACTGAAGTTGCGCACAAACTTACAGTCCTCGTCACAGGAAGTGGCTACTGCATTCGATGGACACCTGCAGCTAAATTTAAACATAGAAGGCTACAGATGCATCATTATAGTGCTCTGAGGAATTGTCCATATTAGTTTCAGCCACCAAATTTCACGAACGCACATCGCGTCAAATTTCACGATACCATCCTCACCATCTGGATGCTAGAGGACTAGTTTTCCTAGGCAGAAACCGTACCGCCTATTACCCACCGAAATTTCTAGAAATATGTTATAATATCTTTCTACAAATAGCGAAATACTCATTCCTCTTACGTCGGAGGTAAAATACTCAGGTGAAGGGCAGCAGAGCCAAAAATGCCGCAATACTGCGATCGCGATAAAAATATATATATAGATAATGATTGTAAGTATTTAAATAGGTACAAGTCGTGATAGATTGTTAAAGGAATACAAATATGTAAAGTTAATGACCGAAAGGTAAATATGTTAACGTCGCATTGAATGTATGTTTCAAATGAAATTGCGCAAACATACGCTCCAATTACAACTGTGTGACGAAACAGTACAGTAGGTACTCCAAACGGATGCATATTTAAAAAGAACTTGTAAGATATGCATTATTAGAAATCACTTTTGTATTTAATAGTTTCATTAAATTTGCCTTCAAAAAACATTTCTATTATTTCAGTATTTGATATTAAAACCTAACAATGTTCAATAAGTTATATATTTTCGTTAAATGAATATCACTAGAATGTAATATATATGCTCAATCAAGAAACTATATAAAAATTACGAGAATATAAAATTAGTTATACTCTCAACTTCCAAAAATCTATTTAAAATACATATTGTATTATAATTACGGCTAGCTTTTGTACATTTTTAAGTATGACATATTTTATATAAGAATTATAAATATACTTATACTCCACACTGGAATAATTTTGTTATTTAGCAAAATTAGTACAAAATTTGATTCAACCAACAAACATTTGATTTCAGAATATAGTTTTAAATAAACCTACGTTTCCAAGGTGACACTTAAGGATATAAAATATATATAATTTTACGTAGTAGAGCCATGCTGCAGTTATATTACGGTTGTAGTATGGATGGGTCGGCTCGACCGGGGAAGGACAACGCTCTCACAGAATACCACGTACCAGCGTAAAATAGCAGCCAAATGCTGCTGTGTTTCGTATGATGAGTGTAGAGAACCAGAGATCCTTTTTACTGGAAACGAGGCATTCCATCTTAGTTCTCGAGGCTGGAACGCATCTGCATTTTAATTCTTAATCGACTCATAGATATTTATGGGCCAACTTCCACAGCATCCACTTACCATCAGGTGGACTGCGTGCTCGTTTGTCACCCTTATTCTATAAAAATATACATATTATATATTTAAAGAGCACTTTTGAATAAAATTCTATTAGGTAGTTAAAATCATAATTTATATTCTTACAAGTAGTAATTGTAAAAGATTAAGAGAAATGATGGTGGCCAGAAAGTTGTCATGGCCTCCATAATTATAGGAATTACCACCCAGATCTAAAGCAGCTAGATCAGGAAGGAAATAAGATCAAGGTTTCGAATACTTAGTACTGTGATCAGCAAGAACTTGCCACCTGAGGTGATAAGGACTTATTCTCACAACTTATGGAACACACATATCTAGTGTACCACTTATAGGCTATGCGAAAATATTATTTTAAACATCAAGCTGTTAGTGTCTCTAAGTGAACGTTAAATAAAGTAAACTTTTTAATGAAACAGACTCTTGGTAACAGAGACATTAATAATTTCAATAAAGTACTTTAATAATACCTTAACACTTTCACCGCTCGATTTTAAGACACAACCACCATAATATGTGGATTACTACTACACAGGTTAAAATCCACTGAGCAGAAAAAAAATAAAAACAATACAGAATATTATAAAGAATATAGAATGTAATAAATGTAATGGCGACGCAAGAGTATGTACTTAATATTTCGTCCCCTTGGTGTCGTAAAATCCCCAGCTGGTTATATCGAGCAGCGAAAGGTTATAATAATACTTACCGTCACAGCCTAATAATAGCTGAACATAAGACTAACCCTTATAGGGGGGATATTTGCCATAGTTGCCACGCTTAACAGGTGGGTAGGCAACCGCATTTTTTTAAAATTTTGGTTGTTTTTAGGTATAAGAGTAAGAATAAAGGTGAGAAACGAGTACACAGTCCACCTGATGGTAAGTGGATGCTGTGGCTCATCGTCATCTATATTTGTTGTGTACACCACACGCATCTGCATTTTGATAATCGAGGATATGCTGTGGACTAAGATGGAATGCCTCGTTTCCAGCAAAAAAGGGTCTTCGGATCTCTACTCTCACCATATAAAACACAGCAGTATTAAGCTGCTATATTACACTGGTATTTTGTGAGAGCGTGGTCCTTCCTCCGTCGATCCGACCCATGTGCTACAACCATAATATAGCAGCACCGTGACTCTGCAACCTATATGTCTCCAGGTTTGTTTCTCTCTGTCGCCTCTAACAACAATCACAGGACGATTAGGCGTAGTGGATATTCTTACACCGCCACTAGATGGTCGAAAGTCTTGTCATTGATCGTTAACTAAAAAACTATATCTTTTCATAAGAAGGGACTGTGGGAGATACCAGAGAATTCTTTTGGCTTCCGATTGATTGGAGTACAACCATCTTGCTTATGATAGATCTCAAGTATAATTTGAAGCATAGACTTAAAATACCCATACCAGCATCGGAAAAGAGTGTCAAAGATGAGAGACATTTGATGTCTACAAGCTATGTCCAGGAAGAGGCCCATGTCCCGCGGTGGAATTTTACGGCTTATGTAAAAGAAGAAATGTAATAGTATTTTAACAGAAATTTTACACACGAAGAAAGGGTGTCTTATAATATACTATGAATTGTACTTTAAAAACTTATTTTTATTAGAAAAATGAAATAAAAATAAGTTTTATTTAAATAATATGTCTCCACAGCACATGGACGGAAAAGGAACTAGATGAAGAAGAATGGAGAGTTCTTGCCTTGCGCCGTATTGCAAAAGTACTTCGGACTCACGTAATAAAATTTGATTTGGATGACACAAAATTCGTTGATAAAGGTAAGAATAAAATATTTATATTTTAAAATTATTATTACGTAAGTCCCACTGCTGGGCATTGTTCCATTATTTATGAAAGCACTTTTATGACAGGAAAGAAACGCAAGACGTGCTTTCCAATTCATTACGAGTTAGCGTGCTTCATATGCGCCTAAAATATTTTACTATAAGATGATAATTGTTTTAGAAATTAAGGCAAACTGAGTTACTCTATGCCTATGTTCAGCAGTGCACTTGAGAAGGGCTGTAATGATAATGATGATGATGAGTTAATCGGGTTTCTGTTTTCTGTTATTAAAGGTTTCGTTAAGAATTAAGAAAATATGAAAACCTCTCAGAAATGAGAAAGGCCTGTGCCCAGCAGTGGGACGTATATAGGCTGTAATTTTAACTAACTCTTAATAAAATATATAAGATGATAATTGTTTTAGAAATTAAGGCAAACTGAGTTACTCTATGCCTATGTTCAGCAGTGGGCTTGAGAAGGGCTGTAATGATAATGACGATGATGAGTTAATCGGGTTCTGTTTTCTGTTATTAAAGGTTTCGTTAAGAATTAAGAAAATATGAAAACCTCTCAGAAATGAGAAAGGCCTGTGCCCAGCAGTGGGGCGTATATATGCTATAATTTTAACTAACTTATATATTAAAACTAACTTTATTTCTTATTTTATAAGATAAGTGAAGAGATAGGTTCTTAAAATTATTGATTGGAACAGTAACTATACTAAATTTCAAGTCAATTGGGTGTATAGTTGTAGCGATCTCGTTGATGAATCAGTCAATCAGTGGTATTACGCTTCTTTAATTTATATAATCGACCTTTATTATTTTAGTTGAATCTCGTGGACGCCGGCGTCACCATATGATGACAATGATGATGTTTGGTATCGTATCTATTGGTATGGTGCTGATTCCCATGGGTTTCCAATTCCTTGCAGTACTCGGAGGAAAAGCTCTACTTTTAGCCAAAATGGCACTTATACTTGCTTCTATATAAGGACTTAAAAAGGTAAATATTATTGTTTCTTATTTTATGGTAGAACAATAATGTTAACATAATATAATAAAAAAACTAACTAAAAGATTATTAATTCGTAAGCTTAAAATTATTTAACATATCTAACAGTACTAATTCTGTATTAAAAATTAACATTCTCTTGTAGGTAGACGCTAGTTATGAAGGTTATCATGACAGGCGGAAGGTATGACTGTATAAAAATGATAAATGGCTCATCTCTCTCTTGTATTTATAGTCTATCGTTATGTATAATTACAAATATTTCTCACAAATCCTTGCTTGAAGCACTTAATAAAATTCAAAATGATAATCTGTTAACAGATGTTCTGTTCCAGATTGCTCCTAGTCCGCTGAACTACGGAATTTATCATCCTTACCCTTACGACCACTTCGAAAAAAGAAGCATACGTAATTGGCAATCATCAGTTATTTCGCCACAAACCACATCGCCATCAATGATAAATAATAGCCCCTGGCCGAGCTCTGATATGATAGAAACGAAATTGAATAGAGTACAAGTTGAAACAAATAAACAAAACCTGAAAGAGTCAGTAACTTGGAAATCAGAAATATCCGAAGAATTAAAGAAGAAATCTGATGCCAGAATTTTCCCAGTTTACCCTGGACCTTCAACTTCGGTATTCACCGCTATTGATGACCCGACTTCTCTCGCAGACGTGGAAGCGAGACCAGGAGAGGTGCAAGCGGATTACACCTTAGATTTGCCGTATAATAGATTTCACTTTCAAAGTCCCACTACTATCGTTCCATCTTGACATAATTTTACGATTATTTCAATCGTTGTTGAGCGTTGTCTCTAGCATATATTCATATTTTATCCAAATTTTATATCCAGAAAGACATGTATTCTTTAATATTTATTGACATATTTTTGTATAAATATTTATAAAAATCTATTAATAATTTTTTAAACTAGACAATATCTACAATTTTTTTATAAATTTAAATAAAAACTATGATGATAAAATATATAAGACTATTTGTTCATTCTTACTTTTATTACCAAGTCTTTAAGTATAACTATATGTATGTGCGAATTGTATAAGCGAAATACCACTAACTCACCTACTTATGATGATATTTCCAAAATTGTACGCCCGATTGACTTGAAATTTGTATATATACTCCTTTCTCGATGTAGGCACTCACTAATAAAGGGTTTCGGACGGCATGTTTAATAAATCGTCATCATCATTACAGCGTACCAAAAGTCCACGGCTGAACAAAAAGTTCCTCCATAGATACAAGAATATTTGCCGCGATTGTCACGCGTATTACTGAATTATTTTGGCTATCCATGTCAACATTACTACTTTTTCTTCTTCATCATCAACCTGGTAAAAATCCACAGTTAGACATGGACCTGGTAGAAAGAATTAAAGTTTTTCCTACTTTGATCTTTGTGTAACCATTTCTTATCATATTTTTACGAGTTATCCGGAACACAAGACATATTTTGAGACAGAAGAAGGTAAAGGGTTTTATCTACCCAGACGGCATATATATCTTAGCACCAAGTTAAATACCCTGATGTTAAGTAGAAACATGTCCCATACACATCTATATATATCCTCTACTATTGGCTATCATGAAATGCCTAGTTCAAAGTAAAAATCTCCGGTTCTCAACACTTACTATACGAAGCACAGCAGCATCAATCTGCTTTTTCACGTTAGTATTCTGTAACAGCGTAGTTCTTCCGACCTGGTAAGATATGCAGGAAATCGATGGATGCAGGTGGCTCAGGACCGTATTTTGTGGCATTACTTGGGGGAGGCCTATGTTCAGCAGTGGACTTGTAAAGGGCTGTAATGGTGATGATGATGATGATGTAGTTCCTTCCCGATCGAGTCGACCCAAAACAAAAACTATGTAGCTGCTGCATAAAGAAGTATAATTAAAAACATCTTAGGCTGCTGCATGGCTGTACCATGAATAATATTTGCGACGTAAGAGTATCCACTATCCTTTATTAATCCATAGCGTGTTGTAAGGACGACAAAGGGAAACTCAAACAGGAAATAGGCAGCAGTATCTCGTTTATAAATGTTCAAAATAATAAAAAACTACGGTTGCCAATCTGACTGCCAAGCGTGGCAACTATAGCAAAAATATACCCGTGAGGCTATCTACGATCTATGTAATGAATTATTAACTGAAGTAATGTAAATTTTAACAATAATTTCCAAGCCTGTTCGTCTGCTGACTGCACTGTCTGGCTCCTTTCCTGCCTCGTTAGAATCGGCACGTTTTACTCGTAATACGAGGAGCGTTCAATGTGTTCTTGGTGTGGGTATGTCAGAAAAAAGATAAAATTATGAAATATTTTTATTACTCAATATAGTCGCCCTCTTTCTATCCTCTTGAAAAAATATTCTTCGTCTTGGCCTGAAAACTGCTCATTTACAGCAGACTTTTATCATTATCGTCGGCAAATTGCCTTCCCCGAAGGTCTTTTTATAAGGCTAGATTTGGGCTGTGTAGTGGGTGGTTAATACCCTCATACCTGCAGATCTTACAGCAGCCCTGAAGAACCGCGACGTGTGAACGGGTATGATACGGGTAATACCCGTATAATATCATGAAGAAGCAGCACTGCCCTGGTCAGTTTTCATGTTCTCTTTTTTTTATTACGTCTCTCAAATGGCATAAAGTGACTGAGTATTTGTCTTGTTGATGGTTTCACCCTTTTCTTGTGTATTTATTGATCGAGTACACAGTGGCTATGATTTTACCGACCGATGGAGTGACTTTGAACTTCTTGGGTGGTGGGAGGTATCTGATCTGTATGTTTGCCCTTGCACAGACTCCTGTTTTATCTCAGGGTCGTAGTATTGAACTCACGTTTCTTCTCCAGCTACTATCTTATCTTAAACACTTGTTGGAACGTCACCACACATCTCTAAAATGCCCCACAACAGTCAACCCGCACCTGCTTTTGAAGCGCGGTGAGTATTCTCGGCACCCATCTTCCACTGACTTTAGTGAAGTTGAGATAGTCATGCAATATGATGTGCATCTGTTTGTGGTACCAACGGAGAGGTTAGTTAGTCATTTCTACTAACATTTTAATCACTATATATTTATTATTATATATATTATTTATACGTGGTAGAGCCATGCTGCAGTTATATTAGTAGTATAGTTATAGCACGAATGGGTCGGCTCGACCGGGGAAGAACCACGCTCTCACAGAATACCAGCGTGAAATAGTAGATTAATGCTGCTGTATTTCGTATGGTGAGTGTAGAAAACCGAAGACCCCCTTTTACTGGAAACGAGGCATTCCATCTTAGTCCTCACGGGTGACAATGCATCTGCATTTTGATTTGTAATCGAGGATACATGTAGATGTCCATAGGCCGCAGCAACCACTTACCATTAGGTGGACAGTGTGCTCGTTTGTCACCCATTCCTATAATTTTTTTATTAAAAAGTTTTTTTAATAATTTTCACATTTTCTTCAGTAATTGCCGTGAATGGACCATCCGGACAGGGGTCATCTTCAATGCTTTCCGTGCCTCTTTTAAATTCACTTGAAAGAAACTCTATATCTCTATCTCTAAGAAATGAGAGGAGGCCTATGCTTAGCAGTGGGACGTATATCAGCTGCTTTGATTATATCTTTATATATAAAAAATACGTGTCACGTTGTTTGTCCGCGATGAACTCCTAAAATACTGAACTGATTTCAATAAAATTTTGCACACTGTGTGCACTTTTTCCAACTTGAGAGATAGGGTGGTTTTTAAACCAATAAGTAACCCTTATTTTTTATTGCTTATTAAAGGATTTTTTACAGGAAAGTAGTCGGAAGGGGCAGAACAACGTCTGCCTGGGCAGCTAGTATCTATATATAATCAAAGATCAGCTGTAACTTTAACTTTTAAGAGATCCAGATAAACGGGCCATGGGGCATCACGCAACTGCATTCGTTGCAGTGGCCGCTCATTTTTAAACGTCCGTGGATCCCTCTTATGATTTTAAAGCTATCTTGCTTCCGTCCGTCTGTTTAAATTAAAATACTAAGTAAAGAAAACTTTGTAACGCCTATATGATAAGTAGGTTTAAATACTGTGTGAAACAGGTGTAATAGTTTACCTACTACCAATACAATATTATATTCAACTTTTCTACTAAAAATTGGATCTGCTAACTTAACTAGAAATCATACCCATAATCCGTAAAAATTGATATTAAAATTGGTGGCGCTGTCATCCAAACTCTCAAACGTTAATGAACCTAAATCATGCAATCGATTTTTTTAACGACTTTGTAAATATAAAATAAGCTCCGTATACTAACGGAGCAGTGTCCGCTCCCTAGACCAGAAGTAAAATACTCACTCAGGCTGGAGACGGAGACCAGCGAGAAAAGTGCGATACGCTTGGATTTGCAATATACAATCTACCTATGCTTGACAGGTAAATTGGGTATTGCAAAAAAAGTCGTGCGTGCTTGCAATTTACACTAATCGTTCCTAGAACAGGAAATGCCGATATGCGGCAGTGGCTTTTGTGGGCTGTTGAAGAACGAATGAAACCTAGTCAGTGACATAATTATATAAAAACGGCCAATAAAATTATAAAGACTTGTTGCCGGTTATTCCATCGAAGTATTTTAACTAAATCAAGAGTCTTACAATAAAATTACGAGCTTGCAATATGTCAAACAGATCAATAGCTTAAGCGATAAAACTTAAGTGCTCAGCCGTTATGGCCAAATGTAAAAATAACGATATCCATTACCGTCTATAATAATAAAAATAAGTGTTAAATAAACATTTAAAATGATATTTTACACCATTGACGTAATTATATAAACTTGTAGGTGAAATCGGAGGAGGCGGATATTATTATTGGAAATTCAATACAAGTTTGTCTAAGCTATGTCTAATGTAACAAAATAACATAGTCCATAGACCATCGGTCAGCAAAAGGCGGACCGCGAAAGGTCGAACCTCGGACCGCCAAATATTGTAATTTATTGCATAGCTATCAAGTATAAATCAATACGTAGATAAGGTATAATATACCTTTATCAATTAAAATAATGTTTTAAGCCACATAGAATGTAACTTAGTACTTATTTTATTTTAAGTTGCTTAGTTAACCTATAATATATTTTTTAAATTAAGAATTTGATTTTAAAACAAAATGATACATAGGTAGCATTTAATTATTGTCAATTGTTTTTTTCTGGAACCCGTTAAAAATTTTCCACAGTATCCGGACCCTACCTAAAACTAATTGCCGACCCCTGCCATAGACTGTACGCGATACCAAACCTGTGACCAGTAATGAAATCCTCGATATAAAATCGAATTGTCTTGACATAAAACAGCCCATTTGAAGAAACTCAGATTTTAAAATCTACTATAATACTAACTGTATTACAAAGGTATTACATAATTATATAATACATTAAGGTATAAGGCGGCCGCACTACCTAATAGCAAAAGTCAAAGGTTATTATTATACTAAGGGCCTAATTACACCGGCAATTTGGAAGAGAGTTCAAAACAAGACAAGTGCGCAGCGAGCTCGTTCGAACTCAAACGTCGTTGTTACAATGGATATAGAGTAACAGAATGCATTCTGAAGAGGAAACACTGCTCACACTCGTCTCTTTGATTCGATTGTAGTGGGGTGAAACGGCAAAGTGAGCTTACAAAATAGCGTCGCCGGTGTTACTCGCTCTATTATTTATTCTGTGGCGCGGTATCTTCGCGGCGTGCTCACCGCTCGCTCGCTGC